CCTCAGCAAAAAGAGGAGGATTAGCATGGATGTTAGCTCAGGGCTGATCTTCCTCACAAAAAAAAAAAGAGGGGGAAGAAAAGATCATAGGGAGTGGAATGAATCTGGGAAGATTTCCTGTAGGAGTTGATCCTGGAACTGAGCTTTGATGGAAATAGATCTCATTTGATGCGGAGACAGACGTCACTCTAGGTAGGGTAGCACCAAGAGCGAACAAGAAAGGAGCTGAAGCTTTTCCAAGGTGGTGGTCCTGTGGAGGAGCTGGGAGCAGTGAAGGTTGGACAGTAGTGTTGTAAGGGCTGCTGAAATCAGGGATTTTTTTCCTCTTCTTTGTTTCTTTTTTATTATGATTAGAGAAATGCCAGGGCACCAACAGACAGAAACTGATAAAGAGGTTTCCTGCTCATTATCCAAAGTGGGGCTTCTCCATCCTGGAATGGCTCTCTCAGCAACAGTTCTGGAAGACAGTGGGTTTGTCCTCAACTCGGAGCAAAGCCTCTGCAGATGACTGGGTGACTGACAGTCCCTAAGAGGGAAATGGTTTAGTCCTCCTTTTGTGGATTATCTCAGGGTGAGACTTAATGGTGGCTTCCAGCCATACTCTGTTATTACCGTATCTGGGACATTGGGCAAGCTTTTCTTAAGTTTTTTAGAAATCAGGACACGTGTATATTTTTAAATTGTTAAGAGCGAGTAAGTAAAATTTTTAAACAACAGAGACTTTAAATAAGAGGTTCGCAGACACTGCGTGTTCCCTTCCCCCTTTGAAAATACATAAGCTATTTTTTTTAAGGTAGGTTACACGGTTCCTGGTGTCCTTGTTTAAGAATAATAGACAAGAATTGCAAACTGTGAATCCCTTTTGCTTCCCATGAAATGAAAATTGTTCCGTGGCGTTGTCAGGAGGCATTCTCCAGAGAGTTGTCCAAAGTTGGAGGGTTCTGGAGGGACTTAAAGGCCTAGCTGGAAAGTGTGGGTTTGGTCTAGTAAAGAGTCACCAAAGAATCTCAACAAGAGAAGTGATATTCCTAAAACCGTGGTTTAAGAAGCAATTCTACCATCTGTTTCCAGGGGTATGTGCTCATATATGTCATGAATAAAGATGACCTAGCCTTACAAAACAGTTAAGTAAGGAAAATCATGTCCATCAGGAAAGGATCCATATCCTTGTACTAAAAGAGTCATTATTATTTCCCTACTTAGCAAACTCTCCTAGTACCTTTAGAATACTTATAACCTACCAAAATGTAATGTGTACATGTCTCAGGACCATGTATTATATAATTCACTTTAGAGGTGTGATGTGTTTTATGTAGAGTGATAGGTTGTTGAGGTGCTCAAATTCATTGTGATAATCTTCTTTTTTGGGGTAATTTAAAACACATTTTTCCCCTTTAAGAAGGTTAAGCTGTTTGTAGGGGGAAAAATCCTCATACCTTTTATAAGCTGCTTATACTCGTAACTCAGATTAACTTCCCAGCACATAAAGGGAATACTGGAAAACCCTTGCATGATTAAATATGCCCCTAGAGGATTAAGTTTTCCACATATTTTTCAAGCCAGAGCTATTAATAATGTTTCAGCATTAAACTTTCTGTACATCCTGATTATGGAGAGGCCTTTACTCATTCTGCCCTTGCTGTTAGTTTTTCCACTGTCCACATTTGTAGCCCACAAAATTATCTGTGGAAACATAAGCTTGAAATCTCAAAGTTTAATAAGGTCCAACAAAGTATCATCTCTGGAATTATTTCTATTTTCTTTTAAGTTTTTGTCCGTTTTTCAAACCTGTTTCTTCTTTTACCTTACTGGAATCCTGGCACAAAGTAGCTATTTAGTGAGCTTAGTGGTTCACTCAGAAATAAGTGATCACTACACACACAGTATTTATCATTTTGAAAAAGGTCGCTTAAGTTCTGTGCACATTTTCCCTGAGATAGCTTTCTGGTTTGTAAAGAATCTCATTATTACCGAGGGATTCAGTTATTAAGTGCCTTTTTATCCAGGCATTGGGTTGTCACATTAATTTACCGTGGCTATATGCCTTGAGGCATAACGGTCACCCCGCTGCTCCAGTCCTCCGGGATCCCCAGTCTATCTGTTTTCTCCTGCCTGCAGGTCTTTCCTTACCAGCCTCGGGTGCCTTCATTAGTACTCACCAGCCCCTCCGTTTCTTTGACCTCTGTCTTTGTTACCCTTATCCTGCCAGTCCCCAAGCTTAGATGAGTCCTTGACCACTTTTCTCCCAAAACATATTTTCTGTCCTGAACAGCTCTGTTCTGTGCTGCTGATGAGCTTCCTTTCTCACATCCCCCACGCGGCTGTCCCACACCATCAGCTCCCTCCTCAAACTCCATGGCCCACCCCATCCCTCTCACTTGCTGCCTGCTATTCAGACCCTAGCACTCAACCTCTGGTTCCTTACGCTCCTAACTTATGACTCCAGCCGCTTCACCCTGCCTCCACACTCCCTGTGCCTAAGGGAGGGCTGTCCCTCCTTTTTAGCTCCAACTTCTTTGTCAGGACTGTAGAGTTCTTCTTCCGAGACCTTTCTCCAGCACTGAAAAAAAAAAAAGCTACATTAAGATTTTATTATTATTTAAATAAGTAATACGTGCACATGGTTTTAAAAATTGAAGTAGTATAAAAGAATATAGAGAGAGAACTACTTGATGCCAGTTGTGTGTATATGTGTATTCTTCCAGAGATATTATATGCATGAACAAGCATATACATATGTACATTTCCCTCTCTCCTCCTGCACCTTTATTTTTTTTTGTGAGGAAGATCAGCCCTGAGCTAACACCCATGCCAATCCTCCTCTTCCTTTGCTGAGGACGACTGGCCCTGGGCTAACATCCGTGCCCATCTTCCTCTAGTTTTATATGGGATGCTGCCACAGCATAGCTTGACAAGCGGTCGGTGCACGCCCGGGATCCGAACCCCAGCCGCCAGCAGCGGAGCGCAAGCACTTAACTGCTACGCCACGGGGCGGGCCCCCTGCACCTTTATTTTTACAAGATTAATACTAGATACATGGTCTGGACACTGTTTTTTAATATCTCCGTGTCTTGGAAATCAGTTTATATCAATAGTATAGAACTGCCTCATTCTTTTAATGGATACCAGTTATGTCCTTGATTGTAAATATACCATAATTTAATCAGTCCCCTATTAAAGAGTACTTGTTTTTGATCTTTTGTTGCTGCAAACAGTGTTGCAATGAGCATCCTTACACACCAGTCTTTGTGCCCATGCAATCAGGCAGAAGCAGGAATGGTGTGGGCATGTTCCTTAGGAGTCAACATTCACATCATCAGATTTCTTTTAACATGTTCACTTTGTAACTGAAAGATAATTGAATATTAGATAATATTGAAAAAAAAAGGAAAATCACTATTTCCCAGCCCTTAAAAAAAAAAAAAAAACTTTGAAAGAAAGTCTTTGAAGTGGAATTGCTGTATTGAAGGGTTTATATATTTTCATTTCTGAATAGAGAAAAATTTTTAAAAATATTTATCTATTTCTTGTGTTAATCCTTCTTCAACCTTTATATTCATGTGTAATTGGTTTCTTGGATTTGTCTTCAATATCTGCTATCTTTTTGAAACATTTATCTCTTTATCTATTTCTTCTCAGTTCTGAGAAAATTTCTGAGGCATTCTGGTTCACTGTTTGCTGTCTACAATTCACAGTTCCTGTGATCATTGAATTCCTAAACATGATAATCATTTATTTGTATGCTTCTAAGTACTCATATGTTCTTATATTGTTCTCCTGTCAAGACTACTGGCCTTTTGTCTTTTGATCTTTTTTATTGAAGGACGACATGTATACAAAAAAGTGCTTGATGGTTTTTCACAAAGTACACCTTTGTAACCAGCACCAAGATAAAGAAACAAATATTACCAGCACCCCAGAACCTCCCTGTGCCCCCTCCAGTTACAATCCCTGCATGGGTAACTACTCTCCTGACTTCTAACACCACAGATTCATTTTGCTTTTTTAAAAAACCTCTGTATAAATGTAATCATACAGTATATACTGCTTCTCCCTTATTTTGTTTAATATTATGTTTGTGAGAATTAGCTATCTTGTTGCATGTAGTACAGTTTGTTTCTATTGCTATATAGTATTCCATTGTGTGGATAAACCACAGTTTGTTCATTCATTCTACTATTGATGGACACTTGAGTCCTTTCTAGTTTGGGGCTGTCATGAATAGTGCTGCCATGGACACTTTTGTTTAGGTCTTCAGATGCATGTATGTATGCATTTTTTGTTGGCTCTACATATCTAGGAGTAGAATTGCTTGATCCTAGGGCTTATACATGTTAAACCTCTGAAGTGATTGTCTCATTTTGCACTCCCATGAGAATCCTGGTTGTTCCACATCCCTGTCAGTACTTGGTATTTTCTGTCTTTTTCATTTTATCCATTCTGGTAGGTATAAAGTAGTATTTCATTGTGGTTTTAGTTTTCATTTCCCTGATCACTTACAGTGTTGAGCAACTTTTCATATGTTTATTGGCCATTTGGGTATTCTCTTTTGTCATGTCCCTGGTGAAATGTATTTTGACATTTTTAAATTAGAATTTTTTAAAATACATTTGGCTAGCTGGTAGGTCATATTTCCCATCCCTTTCCCTTTATCCTTTAATTTTTTTTTCCTTGGCTCTTCTCTTGCCTGTTATTTTTTTTCCTAACAAGTGAACTTGAGAATCAGTAAACCCAAGTCTCCTAGAATATTTAGTGAATTTGCATGGAACTTATTTGAGAAAAATTGTCATCTGAGTTAGAAGATGACATTGTCATTCTTTCTAAAAAAGAAAAAATGATACATACTAAGCCTTCCCAGGTTTTGCCCACCAGATCGATTATCCCTGTATTTAATTCTAGTTTTTGTTTCATTTTTGACAAGTGCTTATCAGAAGTGAAAATCTTTTAATATGCATTTAAAACCTGCAGCCCCCTTTTAAAAATATATAAATGTTTTACAGGTTCTTGATCAATATGAACGAGAAGGATTTAATTTCCTAGTGAAGGTGTTTAATTCTTCACATTCCTTCTTAGAAGATTTGACAGGCCTTACGTTGCTGCATCAGGAAACTCAAGCTGCTGAGGTAAGAATAAAACAAGCTTTCTTTACTGAGGACTAATGTGTTTGAAACCTATTTGATATTCAGATTTATGGAAAAGGAAGGAAGCAGTTAATTATAATGTTTTTCCTTAGAACAAACATCACTAAATAAGTCTGCTAGTTATCAGAGAAGAAGGAACTTTCTGTAATTGCTGGATGCTGTTGTGTGCAGGCTATCATACGGTGGGTGCCTAATGCGCAAAATTGCTGATAAAGGAAGTCAGGTTATTGATTTCCAAACACCTGTGGTCCTTACTGAAGAACAGCATACCTGTGGCCGTTGAAGAGTTGGCTCTAATGTCCGTACATCAAAATGCGAATCAGGGAAGACACTGGACTCTGGCCATGTTCTTCAGAGAGAACATGCCTGGCTTTTATTTCACTATTTGATCACTCTTCTTAGGCCACTGAACCCCACCATGGAATGGCTTCCTCAATTACAGCCTAAGAGAGTTATGTTTTGCTTGTCAATTAGAACATTTTGCAAATCTTAATTTCCTGGGTCACTATAATAGTTTTTTTTTCCCCAAAGACTGGGATTAAAAAATACATTATCATTTTATTTTTCCAAATGCTCACTCTTCTTAGAAAAGGTATGCTCTGTATGATGTGGGGTGATTTGGATCACTTGGCAAAATGGACGAACGAGATTAAATCAACATCTTTTCCCCTCAGTTACCTGGGTGAAGAAGCTCTTAGGAAAAATGTGGCCTATCGCAGCGTTTCCACTCAAGGAAAACCTTGAGTGTCTGTGTCTTGTAGGAATGGAACACTTGCAAAGTTGCCATTAGTCTTATAGTCCTATTCGCTGGTTACTGCTCCACCTCTGCCTAGGACTGTGTATCCTTACCATTGGGAGAGGCCCGACTGGTCAGTGAGCAGATGGTCAGGCCCAGTACTGGACCAGCTAGTGGTGAAAAGGCTGCTGTTTGGAAGATTGGAGCTGGCACTAAAAATAGGAAAACCATGTGGAAATACCAGAGTCAGATTCTTTTAAGCTTTCAGCAGATTGGGGTGAGATTTTTAGGCATACCAGAGAGGCAACATAGTGCATCTCTAGTGTTGGACTTGGAGCTGAAACTGGTTCTTCTTTAACTTGCTTTGGTGTCCTCTGGGCATTCAACAGATGCAGTCTTCCACTTACGACCAGTAGTTAGACCCACGTAGAATCTCTTAGCTTCAGTTTCAGGAGATGAATGGCATCTCTGCAGGACTTCACGAAACTTTGAGATTTTCTCCAGAACTGTGATTGGATTCCCAGACAAGGTTCAGAACATTACGTTGATTGTGGCTGCCATTTTGTCTTTTGAGCAGCACTGTACTGCCTGATGGTAAGGGGAAAATAACTTACAGGTCTTTTCAACCATGCAGTTGTTTGACTAGTTGGCTAGGGGAGTTTTTCCACTCACCTAGAAATAATTCATATACTTCTCTTTAGTTGGCTAGAAGAATTGCAACTTGAAATTGACCCCATATTTCACTCTTTAAAACAGAGCAGATGCTAGGATAATGGGCCGATTCCTTGATAAATTTGGTTTGTTTTGCATTTTAGTTGGTCAAACTTTAATAGCCTTTTCAAAGACCTGGGAAGAGAAGGGGAATTTTAAGAGGACAATAGTGACTAGTTGGTGGGGCAGGAGGGGGCATGGTTTCATCCACAAGTCTTGAGTTTTCTTTTTGAAGTTTTCCTCCATTAAATTATATTTATAGTTTTGGAATCGTAAGCCACACATCAAATTTTAGATTAGAGATGGTAAACTAGTTGGCCTGTGAGCCAAATATGACTTGCAGGTGTGTTTTGTTTGGCCTGCCCTATGTGTTCAATTCTGAATAAAGCCAACATTTAAAAATTATGAGTTTTACATAAAAATATGAATTTTCCCATTTGAAAAATCTTTGAAAAATCAGATCTGGCAACCCCAGGCCTGCATTCCTTAACAGCGGTGGTTAGCTAGAGCCAAGAAACAAATTTTATAGATAAATAATGCACTTGATACAAAATTTTAAAGGTATAAAAAATATTCTGTGTGGAAAGGAAATCGTCCTTCTGCACCTGTCCCTTATCACCTGGTTTCCTTCCTAGAGACACACACTGTTGTAATTTTCTTGCCCAAAGGTATTCTTTAGGTGATGTTCACCATTTAGATGATGCTTTTCTGTGGATGACCCTTATTTGGTATTGGAATTTGTAACCTCTATCTTAGAAAAGGATCATTATTTTCCTTAAAAAGCTCTAAGTAGGACTGTTTTAAGATAGTGCTTCCCAGAGGACCTCATAGCAACAAAAATCATTGTCCTACCTATATTATTTTACTTTACTGTAAAAAAAAAGTATGTGTGTGTAAATAAATATGTCTATCAAAAAATATGTACATATCTGTGTAAAGGTAGTATTTTGATATACATGTTTGATTCCCAGTGCATTTACAGATGTTCAGTAATAAAAATACAAACTTTTGCATGCCATGTAGAAAGGTCCCAACTTATTTATTTCAGCATTGAAATCAAGAATGCCCAATTAGTTCTCATCTTGAGCTAACTGGTTTCATCCATCAACATTGGAATCGCAAAAGATTCAACCAGATAAATATGTGACAGTATCATTTTATGTTGTTTATAAAATATGTTTGTACAAATACTGCTTTTTAAAAAAAAACCTTTACTGAACATCTTTTGAAAATTTGATTGCAATGCACTGTGCTAGTAACTGAATACAGAAGTTAATGAGATGAGCTCATAGTCTGGTGTAAGAAACAGACATAAATAGTGAACTCGAGTATCATCAAAAATGTTTTAGTCATTTATATATTAAGTGCTGAGAGAGCAGTTACTCCTGCATGGGGGAGTAGGGATGTCAAGGAAAGCTTCTCAGGGAAGGGAACAAATATTCCAGTTCATTTTAAAGGATGAGTAGACTCTCTCTAAAAATAAAAGTTGGATTTGGGCAAGGAAAGGGTAGAGAGGTAGGGGAGGATATTCTAGACTAAATAAAGGTCTCAGAGGCCAAGAGTGTGTTACTCAGAATCATGAGCGTGTAGTTGGAGCCGGAGTTACCTGAAATCAGGTAATGTCTTTTTGTGTGTGTGTGTGTGAGAAAGATTAGCCCTGAGCTAACACCTGTTGCCAATCCTCCTCTTTTTTTGCTGAGGAAGATTGGCCCTGGGCTAACATCCGTGCCCATCTTCCTCTACTTTTTGTATGTGGGATGCCTGCCACAGTGTGGCTTGATGAGCGGTGTGTAGGTCTGCATCCGGGATCCGAACCTGCGAACCCCGGGCCACCAGAAGCAGAGCGTGTGAACTTAACCACTGGGCCACTGGGCCAGCCCCAGATAATGTATTTTTTTAATAACAGCTTTATTGCATTATAACTCACATACCATGAAATTCACCCTTTTGAAGTATATAATTCAGTGGTTTTTAGTACATTCGCAGAGTTGCTGTGCTACTGTTACTGCTAAGTTTAGTACATTTTCGTCACCCCTAAAAGAAACTCCATACCCATTAAGCAGTCACTCTTCATTCCCTGCTGCTTCCAGGCCTGGCAACCACCACTCTCTACTTTCTGTCTCTATGGATTTACCTATTCTGGACATGTCACATAAGTGGAATCAAACAATATGGGGCCTGTTATGTCTGGCATTTTTAACTTAGCATGATATTTTCAAGGTTCATCCATGTTGTAACAAGGTAATTCTTTTTTCTTTAAGGAAAAAAAAAAGTTTTGAGGCTATTAAACTTTCCCATATCCCTAATGCCTGTGGTCTGTCTCCCAAAATGCAGCCTCTTGATGAAGGAGGACTGCAAAGCTGATCCTACTACAGACTGCAAATCCCTTTATTTTCATAGACAGGGGCACAGAGGTAATGGGTTGGGAGATATTCAAGACAGAATCATCCAGATTTAGTGAGATTGACTAATGCAACCCATTTTTTTGTACCCCTCCCCCTTCCATCACCAAATATCCAAAAACGATTGCCATTATTTTATTCTCGATTACTAGTGTAATCATAGTGCTGTTGAGATTAACAGACAAATCACCAGGTTGGTTTCTGTTGGAGGAGGGGTTGAGGTGCAAGGTGCAGAGTGGGGCCTGGGAGTGTGGTGGAGGGAGGGTGCCAGACTTACAAAGGTGAGTTTGTTTCAGGTTATGATGATTTTTAAGTAATGGAATAAATGAGTGAAAATGACTGGATGGTGTTGGAGGTAGAGCTTGGAGAAAAAGACCAGACCTGGTAGATTGATTTAGCAGATAAAGGAAAATTATCCTCTTTCATTTAATGCAGTGAGGAGAAGCTGTAGAGCTAGGATGCAATAAAAATATTTAAATGAGAAATGTGTGTGGTAGATTAATTTTATCTCAAGTTGTAGATTGAAAAATTAAAAACACCTCATAAATGTTTTTGCTGATGTTCTATTTCATGAAGAAGGGTCTTGGACAGAGACCCATATACTTTGTCTATAGCCCATCTAGCTCCCAAACTATAGTCACATTCTGCCCATGAGGTATTAGAATGCCCCACAGAGGAAAGGCCTTACTCAGCTTTTTACTCCCTTAAAATGTTGTGATCTGGAGCCAGCCCTGATGGCCTAGCAGTTAAAGTTTGGTTCGGTTCCTGGGCGCGGAGCCATGCCAGTCATCTGTCAGTAGCCATGCTGTGGTGATGGCTCACACAGAAGAACCAGAAGAACTTACAACTACACACACCTGTGTAGTGGGGCTTTGGGGTGTGAGGGGGAAGGAAGAACAAAGAGGAAGATTGGCAACAGATGTTAGTTTAGGGTGAATCTTCCCCTGAAAAAAAAAAATGTTGCCATCTGGGGGCCGGCCCCATGGCCTAGTGGTTGAGTTTGGCATGCTCTGCTTCAGCGGCCCAAGTTCAGTTCTGGGGTGCAGACCGACACTACTCATTGGTGGCCATGCTGTGGTGGCCACCCACATACAAAATAGAGGAAGATTGGCACAAATGTTAGTTAGCTCAGG